AACATCTTCATGTATTTGACAACGTAGGAAATAAGGTAGGTCAATTCCCTCTTTGAACTTGCATAGTTCACCTTTATTTGGAACATATAAAAATAACGTTCGAGTTGTACAGGGTTGATATATATTCTTCCTCCTTCTATAGAAACGTCCAAAACTAGATCTAACAAGCACCATTTCACAGACATCCAAAGGTAATTATTGTAAAATTTAGGCATTAAAAGAAGACCTTGCATGAATCAACAGAATAAACGTTTGTCGAGATATCCTACAGAATTATACATGTATAAAGCCTGCTTTAAATTATTTTTAATTAAAGCTAGCAGCTGTTTTAGAAAAGGAACATTCATATATCATTAAAGTGAAATGCTTCTAACCCTGTAAAGATGTTACATTATCACTATGTGGGTTGGGTTCACCGCAATCATTTATTCCCCCAAAGCTTAAGTCACATAGTGTACCTATAACTATAAAGTATAAACTGCATGGTTGTTTATTATTAGAGAGTTTATTAATGGTCGATCTGCAATGTAAAATTGTTGCAAGCATATTTGAATCGTTGTATGGCAGTGACGATTACTACGGAACCCGATTGACCTTAATTGCACTCGCGATTGAAACACACTTCTTTCGTGCTTAGAACGCTTGAAACATACACGTTTAACGCCCATATGTTGACGTTGCTAGGGGAAACTGTGACGTTTCTAAACGTTTCTAAGCTGGCGCCAAAAAAAAGTCATTTTAACACCACGCACTGAAGGATTCCTGGTTTTGACGCGTTTCGATAAATACACAAACTTACTCAGTATGGATCCTCGCCAAACTACTAACATACTAACGTATTTTAGAGTACACTGGACGAAGACCTTTTGGTATATGAGGAGTTGAAGAAACGAGGTTATACTTCGTCGTTAACAACTAAAGTATTTTAAATACTTTTCTCTTAATAAGAGAAAACTGAATAGCGTGAAACAAACGCGTTCAAATCGAGCGTGTGCAAGGTCAATCGAGTTCCGTACTAAAGACTGTTATTTCTTCAGGTATTTTAGATTATACTAACTCATCGCATCCAATGGTCATCGAGAAATCTTGTACGACTATACGCACAAAAAGTACTTCAGCTGAAAGTGCAATTTATTCCATAAAGCCCCAAGTACTAAACTCCTCGATTCAAGTATTTTGTAACATGACTTCAACTGTGTAGGTGGAAACATATGTAACTGTGACGAAAATGATCAAGTATGGCGTGAAGACAGTGGATACCTGACGGACAAAAACACCCTACCTGTTGCTGAACTGAGATTTGGTGATACTGATGTACGTAAGGGTACCAAAGAGGATGAGTATGGTTATCACACACTTGGAAAATTACGATGCTGGGGTTGATGTGTTGAACACCAAACTTCACGTGATCAACGCTGCCACAAAAGTTTAAATTTCAAAAAAATAGTAACTTTGCAGTTATAAAAATAGTAACTTTTTTTACCTAAGGTTTCGGAATAAATGATGACAAATTAAAATTTCCTGACATGGCACTGCTTCAAAACACATCGAAAATTGGTTGAATAATTCTTTAGTCAACGAGAATCGTTTTAAAGTACAATAATTCGATGTTGTTTGCGATGCACGGCAAAAAAAGGCGATCAAATTGGCTGAAATCGTGTTCTGGCGGGGGGTCAGTGAAATAACGCAACAAAATATTGTTATTTCGTAGGAAATTTATAATAAATATACTAAAATTAACATTTTTTTATCATATGACAAAAATTTTTAGAGAATAGGAAAGATTAGACTTTGCCAGGTGAATCTGTAATCAGTTTATGCATAATTAGCAGTTTAGCTGGAATGATAAACATTCATTTTGTTGTAAAGTATGAAACTTAGACTAAGTTCATGGTTCAGTTAGTGACCACGCCTAAAAGCAACCATTCTGAACCATATAAACAATTCAGAAAGACTGTAGCTTTGATTCAGGACTTAGAGCTATGTAAACTATGCCATTTCTGGGTGTGGTTATGCTAATGTTACCCTAAAACAGTTGAGATAGTCTGTCCTAAATGAAATAAATGCATACAAACCCCTTTACAGGTCCTAGACTATCGCTCTTTACCAGCAAATGATGACATGAAATAACTCTTAAATACTACAACAATGAGATAATAAACAGGCTGTCATAGCTGCCTTTATTTATTGCAATTATATTGTTTGAATTGCATTGTACCAAAATGCGACGTTTTAATTAACCGATCGAGAATCCTATAACGTTTTGCGCGAGGTTTCTTCAAAAGAAAGTTAGGCGTTGAGATGAATTAGGGGTTCCTGGGAGTACTTAGTGTATCTTTAATTGGGCTTGGGCCAGCAAACTCAATGCTGCTAACAACAGCGCTGGGTTTGACTGGTTTGACGGTGCAGAGCCTATAAACGTTGATTTTTGTATTGACATAATTGTTTGCACTAATACCGAAAAAAATTCAAGGGAGGTTTGAGTGGTTTTTATCACATGATCGTAAAGGTAGGTAAACCTGTCGTGTTCTCGCCCTAATCTTAATTAAGCTTTTAGACGCCAGTAAAACTCGAGTAAAATTAACAAAGCAGGTTAATTAGCGTCAGCGTTTCGATCGAAACAAACGTAGCTTATTGATCACTGTTTATACACAAACACTGAGCAGGTGGTCTTTTAATGCAAGAATTTCTCCCATTAGTTCCTGTATATGATCCAAACAGAAAACTATACAATAAGAATCACAATTTGTTTGCGAGATGTTTCTATCAGAAAGTTATTGTGAAATGGTTTGAGAATTTTTTTCTTCATAACAATCATTGTGGACGTTTCGTTTATAAATTATGGACTCACTTTGACCAGTCAACTTAACCTTCCTGACGCTGAGTGCGCTACTGCAAGATCCATAAGCGTTGACTTTTGTCGATATCAATAATGAAAAAAACGCAAGGAGTGGTTTTTATCACGTGATTTAAGAATTTTCACAGAAGAATTAGGAACATTATGGATATTTACATCTCCTCTCTCGATGCAAAATTTTGCAAAAAATGTCTGGTCATGCACATGCACGTCGGCACTCAACGAATTGAAATATCTCGACCAGAATGTCGTAAGACGCAGGTTACAGCCACTGAGACGGTTTTTGTTTAACAAATGGTGTTTAATGCAAGTAACAGTTTTTAGGAGAACTACGCGACGACCTCTGAATCCAGGCCTAATTTATAGGCCGCGGCTTATTTTAGTCGCGAACAAATGGAGCGTTTTTATATACGACAGTTTGCGACCTAATTATTTAAGCTTATATTCGCTCGTATGAAAATAGCCCTTATGTATTTGCTCTTATAGCAGAAATTGCCGAACGTGACAGGTTTAAAACATAATTCCAAATGTCAACAAAGGAAAGCGGCCTCTTGACACTTGTTATAAGTTTTGAACGTCGATAAACCACTTTTACATGGAGCCGTGCTATTTAGCGCAAGCGGTGCCAAATAAACGTAGTTTTATTGTCTCTATCTATTTATGAAGCCTTTTAATGCAAGTATTTCCCCATGAAATCTATACCGAGTATTTTAACGTTTTGCGCGACGTTTCTCTAAAAGAAAGTTAAGTGTATTGGGTTGAGAAATTTTATTATTGCCAAACCATCATTAGAGGTTTTTGAAGTGCCTGGACGTGCATATAACATTGACAAGCCAAATTAACGTTGCTATAGCAACAACACTAAGTGTTGGAAAAAGAAACAAAAATATTGAAAAGCCAATATACTTTGGCTTTTGAATTGAATTTCGCCCGTAATTATAATGAGAAAAGATATGAAGAAAAGTATGAGTGATATATTTATCACCCCGCAAAACTTAAAAAGAAATGTTCTAAAGACTATACTCGGGAATCGAGTGTCAAAATATACAAGCTCGAAATTATTTAAGTATTTTTAACCAAATAACTGGCGTATATTGAACTGCACAGGATAGGGCCATAACAGTAGCTTCGTATCGTGCTGAATTAGTATAGGGAGCTTTAGCAGTGAGTACAAGTACGACTATGCGATCGTGCACGACTACGAATACAGGATTTATCATTCTTGCGTGTTGTTTGTCTACGCCATTACTCCATTAGCCAAAACTCGTAGTCGCCGAGCTTTTCCGTACGAGTTTGCTGATTAATTTCGTATTGAGAAGCAAAACGACTACGAGTTTCGTCAGAAACTGTATTTTTGTATTTTCCATAATGTTTTACTGAACTTTAGTTGCTAATTTGTATTGTTAATGTAACTCGCACGTAACTTTGTAATTGAGGTAGGCAGGTTCAATTGCATGGGGCTATGCTCTGTCTGCTCACCTATCATCTGCGTGTTGTAACTCGTTTTTGATGATGAAGTTATTAAACTAAATTAAACTAAACTAAACTAGAAAGCGTAGGCAAACACGGTTAAATTATATGTATGTCTATGTATGTGAGCAACATTGTCAAAATAAAAAAGGCTCTTTGAAGGATAGAAGAAAAGCCTCAAAATTGATTTAGAAAAGGAAATTCACTTTCAATGACAAAGATGGCAGTCTGGAAATAATCTTATCCATCCACCCTATATTGCTATTGGCAGGGCATTTTATACACGGCCATCAAATGATTGCTCAGCAAAGTACATTGATATAACAACAGTGAACAATTAACACTTTCTGAGTTCTCAGTAAATAAGTTTTTTATTATATACCACTTGTCAAAGAAAAACCAAACTACAAGGTAAACAACGAAATATCTATTCATAAAAGACATAAATTCAAATGGATAAAGTTGTTATTCCCATGAGATAATACGTTATCTCACTCTGCAGGGGGTCGCGCTGGCGACATCAAAATTTCGTCACTCTCGCGTGATTCGCTCTCGACCAATGAAACGCTACGAAAACAAAACTTTGACAAGTGCTATACAATAATACCTATTACATAATTAATGATCTACTAACTTGAAACAAGGGTAGAAGGTTTGTATGTTTAGTGTCAAAATGGCTGTCTTATCAAGCATATGCGCGTTATTCTTCATGTCAAGCATATTCTTTCGAGGCGAATGCACAACTGTCCAAGCATTTTTCCGCAAAGATGATGGTAAATATTTAGCGAATCATGTCATCGAAACAAAACACGCTGAAACTGAGTTAGAATGCGGTATGCATTGCGTTGCTCATGGATCATGCGTGTCGGTCAACTACAGAATTTCTGGAATCGGTAAAGGTCGCTGTGAGCTCAACAGCAAAACCCTTCAAGATACATCTGACGATGATATGAAGAGAAGTAGGTTCAGTAACCCCGAGTTCAGACACATGTACATAATCAAACAGGTGAGAAAATTTCTAAAGCGCTTGTGCTGGGGGCATTTCTTCAGTAATACACATCCAAGGCAATATCTACAGCCAATTTATACATCGAAATCTGAACAGCACAATAAATTTCGAACATTTTGATGCTAAACACTGCCGGTTTATGCAAATTCCAGGCCCGTCAAAAGGCCTTCGAAAACTTTATTAATTTTGTACTCATTGCATGCTGAATAAGTATGGAAGCTGTATGGGAAGAGGAAGGCAACGAAAGGCACTCAAACGAAACACTTTACACCACCTGTTTACACGTTTAAAATCAACAAGTAAATGAGCTATGATATTTTATGTTTTAACATAGTCTATAGATTTTCTTCACCCTCGCTGGTCTTTGCGCCATGTTGAAATTTAAAACGTTAAATTAATTAATTAATTAATTAATTATTTTGGAAAACTGGCACGAAGCCTGAGCAAATGTCCGCGGTTCCATAGCAAATGAGTTTGATATTAATTGCTCATATTAAAGGAAAGAATCCATTCTGTCAAAGAGGCCGGGGTTTTATATTTACTGAAAAGTGAAGCTATGCTTAGTGACAGTGTTATACGAGTATTTTTAGAACATCTGTTATAGTATAGTTGTACATGGCACATGAATATATATGGCCAATACGAATAACGTGTCCTGCAAGAGTGGTCTAAGAGGAAAGTTGCATGGGTATATTAACGACATAGTCATCTCTTTTACATGTAGATACCTCCGAAACCTGACCCAACGAGTAACCCGCCGGAATCAAAAGATCACTCAGCAGGTATGATGCATATACAACTCTTTATGTGATAAGATTTAATCTTTAAGTAGAAGAAAAAACAAATTACACTGAAATGACCAAATGTCGTTCGGGTTGACATCGCAGGTGTCCGAGAGCCAAACAGCAACTTAATTTAGAATAAATGCAATTGGACATTCGAATTTTGTATGTAATTTGAATTTGTGAGTTAGATCTACAATGGAATGGAATGGAATTTAGCCCATTATGTTATTTTGCCGATTATGTCATGTTTCGCTTGGCTTTAATTATTAGATATAAATACATACAATAAATACATACGAGAAATAATAATGTCGTTTGGTTAACAAAATACTAGAGTGTGCTCAATACCTTATACAGGGGCTCTAAAAAAGTCCCCCCCCCCCGTAAAAAGTAACACCTTCGGTTGTTAGCAATTAAATGAGAAGAAGTCACTACATTGTCCGTCTAGACCTATATTCAATCTTTTTTATTTAAAAATTTTGATCACTGTGATCAAAGTTTCAGTGATTAAAGTTTACTGTATTTTATTTGGTATATCAAGCACTCTGCTCATATATATATATAGTTAGGTTTGTATCTGGTCGAAAAATTTATTAAAATGTTAAAAGACTAAATTTTCGGCCGCTCCCTGCGACCTTCGTCAGAGACTATTTACAAGTTTATTAAAACGGTTTTGTTATCATGCGTTAAAGATGCGCTATCTATAGATGGAATATATATATATGTTATATATATATATATATATATATATATATATATATATATATATATATATATATATATATATATGTATATATATATATATATATATATATATATATATATATATGTTATATATATGTGTTATATATATATATATATATATATATATATATATATATATATATGTTATATATATGTGTTATATATATATATATATATATATATATATATATATATATATTTATATATATATATATATATATATATATATATATATATATATATATACCCATTTGCAAAAACGTTGGCCGCAGATAGATATATAGATAGATACTTGAAATCTAATTAGAATTGCATATGTTGTGTAATATTATAGAAATCCCATGCAAATGTAATCATATGCAATTCTAATTAGACTTCGAGTATCTATCTATCTATCTATCTGCGGCCAACGTTTTTGCAAATGGGTGTATATATATATATATATATATGCTATATATATGTTATATATATATATATACATATATAACAGGCAAGTTGGTTCACTTATTTCGTATGCTTCGTATACCCATAAGATATTTTAGGCAACTTCTGTCTCATTACAGCCGATTACAGACACATTGCAGCTAATTTGAATTTCAAAGGTGTCAGTTTATTTTTACACACCCTGTATAACAAAACAAATAAAATATACTATTTTTTGCGGGCATGAATTAAGTGTAAATTTCTTTTCGATTCAGGTACTTTAAATCATACCAAACAATTACATCCAATACAGTCTTCCTGCACGGCCATTCGTATGAAAAACCCTACAGCTGACAGTGGAATGTATTCTATCAAGCCCCGTGGACTCAATCTGTCGTTCAACTTATATTGTGATATGACTTCTAAGAATGGTGTTGGTGTGACAGAGATTGGACATGACAGTGAATCAAGACACGGGTGAGCGGATATGAAAAAGCAGGTTCTTACAACAAAACCATCAAATATGAAATTTCCATGGAGCAGATCGTTGTCATTATGAACGAGTCTAAGAATTGTGACCAGTTTATAAAAAATGAATGCCTTGGAAGCACGTTTGTATATAAGGGTGAGCGACAGAGTTGGTGGGTATCACGTCAAGGTTCAAAGATGAATTACTGGGGTGGAGCGGCCATCGACAGTGGACAATGCGGATGTGCTGTGAACAACAGCTGTGCAAATGGATACAAATGTAATTGTGACATGAATGATGAAACATGGCGTGAAGACAGTGGATACCTGACAGACAAGAACACGCTGCCTGTTGCTGAATTGAGATTCGGTGATGCTGATGTGGTTTATGGTACCACCATAAAGGAGCTTGTTTATTATACACTTGGGAAATTACGATGCTGGAGATAAGAGGTAGAACGGGCCACCTGATAGTTTTTAACGCTGTGATGAGATTGTGTACACATGTTCTTGTATGTAGTCTTATAGGTTTAAAAATGAAAGAAAACGTTGATTTGTACCTTGACCCAAGTAGAAAAATTGTAGAAAATTGTAGAAAGTTTCAATTACGATCTTAAGAATGTTGACTGGTCCTTCACAGATTCCGTATCTGATTTCAATAATGCTGTTAACACTTGGTGCAATGAATTTTCAAAAATTGCAGACGAACATATGCATGCTCCTATCAAAACCAAGCGAATTAAATGTACGAGTAAATCCCATTAGATCACACCTGAACTTACTGAGCTAATGCGCGAACGAGACTATCATCAAAATCTAGCACATAAAACTAACTCGGGTATCATTGGCAACATTTCCGTGAACTCAACCATGTTAATAACCAAATCAAGCTCGCTAAATCTAAGTACTTCCAAGATTCCGTGAATGCGAATCACTCTCACACACATTACCAGATGTTTGGAAAAGAGGAAAAATTATTCCCCTCTTCAAATTCAACGATCCAAAAGCACCCAACAACTATAGACCTATCACTATTTTACCCATCTTAAGCAAAATTTGTTAAAGTATGCTCTATTATAGTGCTATCAATCAACTGTAAATAGATTTAAATTTGATCAATAATTCCATAGATTCCATAGATGCAAGTGTAGCAATGATTCCCCAATGGTAAACCAAATATGGTGACACAAATGTAAAATGTAATGTTATCCATCCCAAATATATTATAATGTATAATCGCTTGTATTTAGATGTAATTTTGTCTTGTATTACTGCAGTGAATAAAACTGTTGAACACTAAAGTTGTCGTGCAAAGTTATATGTGGATAAAAAAGTGGCAAATGGCTACTCAAAACTGAACAAAATTATGGAGCGCATTGTCCACAGTCAACAAGTATTTACATGAGCACAAACTTATTACTTCGGAGCAGTTTGGTTTTGCCCATATTTGTCCACAAATGTTACCTTGACGCGGGTCATGGAGGAAATTCTACTCAATTATGGACAAAAAACATCGGCAAAACAAGGTTGAATTTGAAAAAAATATAGATTTGCGATCGTTGGGATTTTTTTTGAAAAAAAAATATAACAGTGCTGGTGAATACAAAGATTGTTTTGAACACGATTAAGAAGAGTGAACCACTAAACGAAAAATGAGTGACTATATGAAATAGTTAAGTGTTCATAAAATATATTGAAGTAAGTTAAACGTTTGTAAATCATTTTAATGTTTTTTGTAATGTTTTTTGCTAAGATTATACGAAAAATACTACCATATTGGCGTTCATCAGGGGCGTGCCGAGGGTACTTGTGGTGTCGGGGAATTGGTTTTAAATCATTACCGAGAACAAGCCCCCGGCTTCCGCTTTATGTGACTCACTGCGGTAAATTACTTTTTTGGCTGGAGAAATTGTTGTATTTGATGATGAAAATTTAAAATTTTCTAACCTATATTAATGATATATAAGTCCTAGCAACTTCTCAACGTGTCGTCTCTGATGGATATAGAGTAAATTATTCTTTGTAAATTATTCTTTGTAAATTATTCTTTGTAAATTATTCTTTGTAAGTACGGTAAAACCAGAACATATATGTTTATTACGCGAAGTGCTTCAAAGAGCCTGGGAACGAGGCTGTGCTTATGCAGTACTCTAGAGAATGTTGAAGGGCAAAGTCCAAAAAATATTGTAGGAAACGGACGAGTTTATCACAAAAAATGCGTCAAAATTGGAGAAAGCTAGGGGACACTAAGGGGATGAAACCTTAAAAAGCGAAGACGAATTCGTATAATATCATTCATGTTTCTTGCAAGCATGTAAGTCATTTTTAAAGGCAGGTTGAAAAAATAATTGCAATCGTTGACAAAGGAAATCGGCCTATTGAGTATTGACACTTGTTATACCCTCGCTCTTTATCATGTCATTACAAAAAAAAGGTAATTTATTTAGTAATAATTTAGTCTTAATATAGAAAAAATATGTTATCAGCATTATTATAATTAAACTGCATGAGAGGTAAAAAAATAGAAAAATCTTTTGCATTGCCTACCTTTAGGTTTTTGGACGTCAATAATCTCTCTTACAGCTGTCTTATTTAGCTAAAGCGCAAACGTTACTTTTGTCTCTATCTAATTATTAGCAATGAACAGGTGGCCTTTTAATGCAAGTATTTCTCCAAGTTGGTTGTTAAAATAATTTTAACTCCATAAAAGCTATACCGAGTATTATAACGTTTAGCACGACATTTATCTATAAAAAAGAAAGTTAGTGTAATGAGTTGAGAAATTTTACTTCTGCCAAACCATGATTTTGATGTGCCTCTAATTGTAACGTTGCTATAGCAAAAACACTTAAAGTGTTGCCCAATAAACTTTGGCTTTTGTTTTGACTTTTGCCTGTAATTATAATGAAAAAAATATTGAAAAAAAGTACGAGTGTTCTTTATTACCGTATGATCTAGGGCTTATTTAAGCCGCAGCTTATTTTCGCTCATATAAAAGTGGCTCTTATGTATGTACTCTTATAGCAGAAATTGGCGAACGTGGCGGGTTGAAAACATAATTGCAAACGTTAACAAAGAAAATCGTCTTATTGAGTATTGACACTTGTTATACCCTCGGTCTTTATCATGTCATTGCTTTTGGAAAAAAGTAATTTAGTCTTAATATAGAAAAAATATGTTATCCGCATTATTATAATGAAAGTGCATGAGAGGTAAAAAAATACAAATTAATATTTACGAGCTTTGAAAAACCATTTGCATTGTCTAACCTCTAGGTTATGGACGTCAATAAACCTCTCTTACAGCAGCCTTATTAAGCGCAAATGTTGTCAAATAAACGTAATTTCTGTCTCTATCTAATTATTAGCAATGAACAGGGGGCCTTTTAATGCATGAATTTCTCCGGTTGGTTGTTAAAATAATTTTAACTCCATAAAAGCTATACTGAGTATTATAACGTTTTGCACGACGTTTATCTATATAAAAGAAAGTTAGTGCAATGAGTTGAGAAATTTTATTTCTGCTAAACTATGATTCGGCGTTTTTGATGTGCCTATAATTGTAACGTTGCTATAGCGAAAACACTTAAAGTGTTGCCCAATAAACTTTGGCTTTTGTTTTGACTTTTGCCTGTAATTACAATGAAAAAAATATTAAAAAAAGTACGAGTGTTCTTCATTACCGTATGATCTAGGGCTTATTTAAGCCGCAGCTTATTTTCGCTCATATAAAAGTGGTTCTTATGTATGTGCTCTTATAGCAGAAATTGCCGAACGTGGCGGGTTGAAAACATAATTGCAAACGTTAACAAAGAAAATCATCCTATTGAGTATTGACATTTGTTATACCCTCGCTCTTTATCATGTCATTGCTTTTGGAAAAAAGTAATTTAGTCTTAATACAGAAAAATATGTTATCAGCATTATTATAATGAAACTGCATGAGAGGTAAAAAAAACAAATTAATATTTACGAGCTTTGAAAACCTTTTGCATTGCCTAACCTTTAGGTTTTGGACGTCAATAAACCTCTCTTACAGCTGTCTTATTTAGCGCAAACGCGTTGTCTAAATAAACGTAATTTTTGTCTCTATTTAATTATTAGCAACGAACAGGTGGCCTTTTAATGCAAGTATATCTCTCGTTGGTTGCTAAAATAATTTTAACACCATAAAAGCTATAACGAGTATTATAACGTTTTGCTATATAAGAGTTAGTGTAATGAGTTGAGAAATTTTATTTCGGCCCAACCATGATTCAATGTTTTTGATGTGCCTATAATTGTAACGTTGCTATAGCAACAACACAAAGTGTTGCCCAATAAACTTTGGCTTTTGTTTTGACTTTTGCCTGTAATTTCAATGAAAAAAATATAAAGAAGAGTATGAGTGTTCTTCATTACCGGATCGCATAACTTAAGACAAACGTTTCTATATACTCGGGTATGGACGAGTCAAAATGCACAAAATCGCAGTAGCGCGTAGCCAATTTGTCACGCTATGCTAATATTTTGGTTCATGTTTAAGTGAAACAAAAATTTGTAAATACATGAATAATTGTGATAATTCAAAATTTACATAACGCGACAAAATCATCAGGCTGGCTAATAAAGAGTGCATTAATAAAACCCACATCTTACATAATTCATGATCTGCATGATAACTTAATTAAAACAGAGGTAAAAGCCTTGTATGTTCATTGTCAGAATGGCGGCTGTCTTATCAAGCATTTGTGCGTTAGTCTTCCTTACGAAAATATTCCAGCCAGGCGAATGCCTAACCGTCCAAGCCTTCTTCCACAAAAATGATGGCAAATACTTAGCGAATCATGTCATAGAAATAAAATACACTGAAACAGAGTTAGAATGCGGTATGCATTGCGTTGGCCATGAAACATGTTTGTCGGTTAACTACAAAATTGCGGGAATCGGTAAAGGTCGATGTGAGCTCAACAACAAAACCATTCAAGACACGTCTCAAGATTATCGAAAACGGAGTGAGTTAAGCAATCCCGAG